TTCATATTCATCTGCTTCTTCTAATTCTTCTATTAAGTAAATATATAAATATAACAAAATATATATATGTATATATATTTTGAATATTTTTCTATATATTACCATCTTCTTAATAATCTCCATCTCTACATTCAATTCCAAAATTATTGTTTGCTTCATGCATATACATCTTTTTTTTTTTTTTAATTTTTTTTTTTTAATTTTTCTAATCAAAATTCATATATTGTTTATGTATTAAAAAAAAATAAAAAATATATATACTGCTTTTAATTCTTCTTCATGTGCAATCTCTTCTTATTCCAATAGTTCCTTTTTTTAATTTAAATGATTAAATATTTTATATTTATATTTAGAAATTTTAAAAACTTCATCGTTTAAATCAAAAGGTTATTACCAAGCTGCATTTGGGGGTGGTGGAATAAACGAAGACATTTTTTTGTTTTTTTTATTTTATTATAATTTTTATTGTTTATTTATTTTTAGGTAATAAAAAAAATAATTGTTAGTATTTTTATTGTATATAAAAAAAAAATTAAAATATTTAAAATTATTTAATATTTAGCTTATTTTTCTTGTGTAAAAATCAGTAAATTATATTTTATTATTATAAATAAATTTATATATAATTAAGTTATTTTATTATTTTTCCATAAATTAAAAAAAATCTTTGAAAATTTTGATTTCATTGTTAAACTTTATTTTATAATGCTTTATATACTTCTTAAAATGATTTATCTAATGTACAAATCGTATGTCCACTTCCTTTATAAAGTGTTTTTATTTTCTAATCTTTTTTTCTTATAACATTGCAAAGTAATAAAGCTTTTTTTGAAGTTTCGATAGGATTAAAAGCTTCCATTTAATCTAATTTTTAAATATTTTAATGATTTTCTTTTTTAATTTATATTTTTGTGTTTGTTAAGCTTAGTCTTTTTTCTTTGATATCAGAAATTTAGACTATTAATTTTTTAATTTATAATATATATATATTATTATTTAACCTTTTTAATTTTTATTAATATTTAATGTTTTATTTTCTTAATTTTAATCTTATGAGAAATTCTAAACTTCTTATTATTTATCTTAAAAAGTTAAATTTTAAGTTTTTTTAATTTTAGGATCAAGCAAAGATACTTAATAAATAGATGAATATATATATATATATATATATATAAATAAATAAAAATACATGGACAATTATTATACAAAGATTAAGCAGCAACAAAATGTGTTTTATTATGTAAAGATGGAAGTAAATTTTTAATCATTTCTTTAGCTAAAAATCTATTCTTTCTATATAATAAAAATTATATAAAATATAAATTAAAATAATATATATATATATATATATATATATTTGTTAATATTCAATTTATTTTTTTTATTTTTTTATTATTGCAATAATTTATTATATTTTTATTAATTATTGATTTTTTTTTTAATTAATTATGTATATTAAATATTTAATTAAAGTTAATATATTTATTATGTTTACTCCCATGAACTAAAATTTTATTTAGTATTTATAATTTCTAAATATTTTTTTTTCTTTTTTTACTAAAATCTAAATTCTATTTTTATTTTTCTATTTTATATAATATAGTAAAAAAATACCTCAACTTAAGTTTACATATGATCCTTTAATAATTATTCTATTCTTTCTAAAGATGTTTTAGCTGTAAACCTCATATCTGGTTATATTTCTAATTTTGTGTTTCTTTCACGAAATTAAAAATGTGCAACTGTTTGGTTTGGCATATAATCTAAATCTTAATTTTTTTCTTAAGATTACTTTTTTTTTTATTTTATAATTTTAATTATTCATTACTTTTATTCTATCTTTTTCATGCTTAAAGCCTTATATATAAACTTGAGGATCATCTAAAAATTTTTCAGGAAATTCATCCCTAATTTTATATGCTGTTGGACTTTTATAATCTGTAGTAACAATAGGATTTTCTAACATATTTATAATAAAATTATCAACTCTTTTTTTATAATTGCTAGCTAATTAACTTAATTTAGCTTTTTATATATTTAATTTATAAAAAAAAAAAAAATTATAGAGTTATTTGTTTCAAAAAAAAAAATACAAAAATTTTAATGTACCTCTTCTTTTTGTTTGATCTAAAATAAACTAATCTTATAATTTATCAATTTTTTATTTTTTTTCTAATTTTCTGATAAAAAGATTATAATTAAACATTTTTTTTTATTACAATTAAATTTTTTTAATAAAAAGTATTATAAATATATATATAAATATATAAATAAATATATATATATTAATATATATATATATATTTTTATTTAAATTTTTATTTTATATTTAAAAAATATTATTTAATTTATTTTTAAATAAAATATATTTTTTTTTTATATTATTAAAAATATATAAATATTTATGTCAAATTTTTTTAAAATGTAAAAATATTCAGTTATTATTTTCTGTAATTAATTCTAAAAATAAAAATCCTTTATTTACTTAGAAAATTATGCTATTAATAAAAGATACTTAATCAATTAATGGTATTTACTATGGAGTATTATATTTACCATTTATTGTATTTAAAATACTCTAAACTAATCCATTTATTGTATCTTTAAAAGCTTTGGGATCAAACTCAGTCAATATACCACCATTTTTTTTTGCATCAATAACCATAAGATTTGAAACATCTATTGCATATTAAAGTTTTCCTGGACTAAAGACATTTACTGCGAAATATAAATTTAAATCCAAAGTAATAGCGTTTTCGCAATCTTTACCACATTCAGTATAATTTTTTACTGGACTAATTCTATCTTTATTAGTATCAACAATAAATGTTAATTAAGCGACTAAATTTCCTAATAATCTACCTCCTCTAATATAATATATATATGTAAATATAAATATTTTTTTAAAAAAATTACACCATTCTTACATTAGGATCATTTTAAGGTAAACTAATATTTAAATAAACTTATTAATATTTTTACATTCCTCTTTTTAAGATATATTCTTAATATAAGTCAGGTATAAGTAATTACATTCCATTTAAATTTAGTTAAAGAGGTACACTTTGCATTAAATGATTATCTTATGTAATAAAAAGATTTACCAATTCCGAACTTTAAAGAATCCATATCAATTAGTTAATAATTCCGGTTCCTAGGAATAACTCTACATCTTAATATGTGTTGTTTTTATAATATTGGTCTGGTAGGTCATTTTTTTAAAAAGAAGGGACTAAAGCTGAAGTATTAAGGTTTTAAATTTTGTAAACATTAAGGGGAACTTTTAGTAGATTTTAAGATACTTGTATTCCTTGGGGGAAACTTAGGTCAAATTAGAAATCATATTTTCCAATTTTTAATTAAGGAGATAAAGGTTTTTTACACAACTTGTTTAGTTTAAAGTTTAGGATGGGTTTTACTATTATTGAAATTATGTTTGGGAGTATTTTATTTAAAATCCATATTTATGGCTTTAAGAATTTGTTCCATTTTGGAGAGTCGGGTAGGTCAAAAGAAATTTATTTGTAGTTTATGTTTAATTTATCTAATGCTAAACTGAAGCCAATAGGATACTTTTTAGCGTTTGGGGTAAATTCGAGAATAGATTTTAATTCCAATTCATCTATTTATAAAGTAAATCTCTTTTTTGATATTATTTATTTTTTAAAAAATTATTAAGGATAAGTATATATATATAAGTTTATATGTATTTTTTTTACACTTTCTATATTTAAGAAAAGAAATTTGAATTTAAGATTTCCAGTTAAATTAGCTGATATTTATTATAATTATAATTATAATTAGTTTGTATTTAAAGATGACAATTAAATAGCTTATTTGTCCCATACTATTGTATGTTAACTTATCATTAAATTTGTCAAATCGAAATGAATTATTTTATCTATACTGATATTAGGTAAGGTGAAATTTGTTTTATTGCTTATTAATGGATCTACTATAGCTCCTACATTATTTATTAACTATTTTTTATTAAATAATTTAATTTGAGTTTTTTTTATTTTGTTATTATTATTATTTTACTGTATTGAAACCTAATGTATTTATTGATAATTTTAATTCGGCGAAATCTTGATCGTCATTTAATCCTAGAATTAAGTATAAAAATGATATTTAAAATATTATTTTAGTAAATAAGAATTTCATTTTTATTTTTATGATTTGTTTTATTTATTTTAATAATTGTTTTATAATATATATATATATATATAAATATATATATATATATATATATATATGATATAATAATAATAATAATTATAATATTATAATATAATATTGAAATATTATATTTTTAAATATATATAATTTAACTTAATTATTTTTTATTTTTATTTTATAAGTCATTAATTTTTTTTTTTTCTAAATAAAAGATAATTTTTTTAAAAAAAGTTCCAAATATTATATATAATTTATAAAACAAAAAAGTTAAATAGAAGATACAAAAATTAAATTATTTATATTAGTATAAAAAAATGAATAGAATTTAATAACTAAATAGTTAAATATTAGAAAAACAAAAAAGAAATAACAAAAACATAGAACCTGTAAAAAAAAAAAAACCAAACAAATCAAAAAGAAAAAAAAAAAAAGAGACCTTTAAATAAACTTGAATGGTTTAAAAATTAAGGTTGGGGCTACAAAGATACCGAATTCACTTTTGGAGAAGATAACGTAGTTTATTTAACAGGAAATAAATACAAATTTTCAGGAGAAAAGATGCCTAACTTTAAAGAATGGACGGAATAAGTAATTGGTATAAATATAAATAAATAAACACCAAGATAATAAAAAGTACCAGCTTAACCTTCTATAATAAATAAGGAATTTTTAAATTCAATAACAGGAAATGTAAATGAAGTTTAATTCGATGAAAATTTAAGAATACATCATTCTCACGGACATTCTTTATAGGATATATTCGCTTTAAGGCACGGTAGTTTTTAGAGGATTGTAGATGTTATAGTGTATATAAGTAGTCATTAAGAAGCCGAGCTTTTAATTGAAAAAGCAAATTAATATGATGTAGTACTTATGCCATATGGAGGTGGAACTAATGTAACTCAAGCATTATTACCATTAAAAGATGAAAAAAGAATGATTGCTTCAGTAGATATGACTAGAATGAACCATGTAAAATGGGTTGACAGAAAAAATATGATGGCATGTGTAGAAGCAGGTATTTTAGGATAAGACTTAGAAAGAGAATTAAAGAAATATGATGTATGCTGTGGACATGAACCTGTATTTATTTATTTAAATATTTTTTATTTTTTACATTATTATAGGATTCTCATGAGTTTTCTACTTTGGGTGGTTGGATATCTACAAGAGCATCAGGAATGAAGAAAAATAAATACGGAAATATAGATGATATTGTCCTTAATATAAAAATAGCGACAAGTGTAGGAACTTTCGAAAAAAAATAAAACGCTCCAAGAGTAAGTAGTGGACCCGATTTAAATTAATTTATATTAGGTTCAGAAGGGACTTTAGGAATAATTACTGAGGCAATTATTAAGGTTAAAAATTTACCAGAAATGGTAGTTTATGATTCTATTATTTTCCATAATTTTGAAAGCGGAACTTAGTTTATGTATGAGTGTGCTTAAGAAAAATAATGGCCTGCTAGTTGTAGATTAGTTGATAATCAATAGTTTAAATTTGGGATGGCATTGAAAACTGAAGTTAAGAGTAAAACTTAGGAAATTATTGATAAGGCTAAGAAGTATTTTGTAACTGAAATTTTGAAGTTTAATCCAGATAAAATGTGCCTGTGTACTATTGTTTATGAAGGAAATTAAAATGAAGTTTAGACTTAGTAGAAAGTTGTCAAATAATTGTATAAAAAATATAAGGGATTTAGAGCAGGTATATATTAAAATAATTATATTTATTATTATATTATAGATTTATTATAATTTTTTTATATAAATTCATTTTATTATTTTTACATTTTTATATGTTTATATTTTTATTAATATTATCTATATTTAATGATAGGTGCTGAAAATGGTTAAAGAGGATATTTTTTAACTTATGTTATTGCTTATTTAAGAGATTTTGCATTTGAATATGGATTCGTAGCAGAGTCTTTTGAAACATCTGTTCAATGGAAAAATGTAAATTCTTTATGTGCAAATGTAGGAAATAGGATAGTATAAGAATGCAAGAAATAAGGAATAAAAAGAGAACCTTTTGTATCTATGAGAGTTACTTAATTATATGATACTGGAGCAGCTATATATATTTATTTTGGGTTTATTTATTTAGGATTGGAAAATCCAGTTTAAGCTTATGCAGCTGTAGAAGATGCAGCTAGGGAAGAAATTATGAAAAACGGAGGATGCATTTCTCATCACCATGGTGTTGGAAAATTAAGAAAACAATTCATGAAAAATAGTATAGGCGAATTAGGTATAAATATGATAAAATCAGTTAAATAATAAATGGATCCTAAAAATATTTTCGCAAATGGAAATTTATATTGAAATATTTATATATTTATAAAAAAAAGAATAATTGAAATATAAATATATAAATAAATATAAAAAAATTTATATAAATATATATAAATAATTAATAATTATATATTTATTTATTTATATATTTATATATTTATATTTTTAATTTTTTTTTATTTTTCTTTTCATCTTTATGTATTTTATGTGGAATTACTAAACATGTTTTCAAGTTATTATAATTTTTCATTTAGTTTTTTGATTTCTTCATCTTTATCAAATTCATTTATTTTATTTTATTATTATTAATTTTAATTAATATTATATGATTTTAATCGTTCTTACAGGTATTCATTTTCCACTTCTAGTGATTAAAGTTTACTTTTTAAAATTTAATTATCTGATAATAGCATTTTCATATTTAAATTATTTTATTTTTTTTCGTTTTTTTCATTTTTTTAATTTTTTTCATTTTATTTTGTTTCTTTTATATTACTTTCATTATTTACATAATATTCTAATTTTTATAAGAGTTATTTATTTAAATTACTATATTACTGTATTTATTCTTCTTTATCTCTAAAAAAAAAAAAGTTTAATATATTTTTAATTTAAATAACCTTAAAATTTTTTCGTAAAAATCTTATTATTCATTTATATTTAAATTTATATTTTCCTTATTTTAAAATTATAATTTTAATTCATATATTGTATTATTTTTTTATTATATTATTTATTAATAATTTTTCATTTATATTGTAAGTTCATTTATTTTATTTTCTAATAATTATATTTGTTTATCTTCTTATTTTTATATTATTTATTTTTATATGCTTAATGAAGATTATGGTTCAACTTTGTTTGAATAATAATAAATTACTTATTATTATTATTATTTAGGAAATTAATTATATCTTTAAATAGGAATCATATTATTATTTTTATTTATTTGAAATAAATAAATAAATAATTAAATATATAAAATTATTATTTATTTATTTTTGTTTACAAATATCTAATAAAATAAGTATTTTTTAAATATTTTATAAGTTTTTTATAATATATATTTTTTAAAAATTAATAAATATATAAATACATATATATAATTTATTTCTTAATTTATATATTTATTTTCGATTTGTTTACTTTTCTTACTTATTTTCATTAGTTTAATTAAATATTTTACTTTCTTTTTCTTTTAATTACAATAAAATTTATACATTTATTTATATATATATATTTTATTTTATTTCAATATCATTATGAGATATGAATAATATTTTTTTGTTTATAGACAAGTTAATTTTTTTAGCCGAAATTAATTAATTATTTTTAGATGGTATATTAATTCATTCTATATATTTATAAAACAAATTAATTATTAAATAAAAAATAATATTATTTTTAAAAAAAATAAAAATTTAAGTGGTAGAAAATTTTAATTAAAAATATAAATAAAATTTATATATATATATATTTCTGTAAATAAAAAAAAAAATGGAAAGAGCGATTAAATAAGAGAAACATATTTAAAATAAGTAATAATTAGAAAAACAAATTTTACAAGCAAAAAAAATAAATAAAATATTTTTATCAAACTTTAATTTAAAAACTTTTCCATAATAAGTATTATTTTATTTAAAAAAATAAACATTTGTAATTAAATAATTTATATATTGAAAAAAATAAAATATATAAAAGCTATATAACTTAAATAATCTTCAAATACTAGATTTAGGATTTAATAATATATAAGAGATACCATCAGAAATAAAGCGGTTCAAAAAATTAGAAATTCTTTATTTAAATAATAATCCTATTTAATATCTACCAATAGAATTAAGTGAATGTAACAAACTAGAAATATTAAATTTAGCACATACATATATTAAATTTCTACCAAGAGAGCTTTGTTTATTAAAAAAGATATATGTACTTGATTTAACGGATTGTCCTTTAAAACCGAAACTATAAAATATATATAATTAAGGGATAGTTATATTATATTAGCACTTGAAAAAAAAATATGATAGAGCATAATATAGAGTTAAAATTTTAATAAAAAAATATATATAATATAAAAAATATATATATAAAATATTAAAATTAACAAAAAAAGAATATAATTGTTAAAAAATTGAAAGAATGGGTTTTTATTGATAATTCAGTAGAAGAAATATAAGATGTTAATAAAATATAAATTCTATATTAAAATAAAATTAATTTTTATATTAAATAAAAAAATTAGGTTATGTAAGGAATAATGGATTAATTAAAAGATGTTGATAATTAAATATTAAACAGACTATTAAGAAATCTATAAAATATATTTAATATGAAAATTGAAAATGTAAATGCAATATAAATTAGAGAAAAACTATTTTCAACATAAATTAAATGCTAAAAATAATAAAATAAAAAATAAATTAAAAATTGATATTATAAATTATAAAATAAATATATATATATATATATTTTAATGTAAGAATAAATATAAAAATATATAATTATATTTTTATATATTTATATATTTATATGTTTATATATTTTTTTCTCTATTAATTTTATTAAATTTTATCAATCTTTTTATTTATACTTTTATTTTAAATTTTTTTTTATTTATCAAAATTTACTTTTATTTTTTTTTAATCATCTTTTTTTGTTTTAAATATATTTTTATATATTTTTGATTTTTTATATATTTTAAATATAAATTGTTTTATAATACATAAATAAAATATATTTATTTTCTTTTATATTAATTAATTATTAATTTATATTTTATTTTTTCAATATTATATTTTATTAAATAATAATACCTATTTATATATTACAGTTTAATTAATAAACTTTTATTTATTTATGTTAATAATTCATAATTATTTTTTTTACTCTTAAAGTAATTCCTTTTATATTTTAAATATACTTTTACTTATAATTTACTTTTATATTTATATATTTAATACATCTTTTGAATTCCATAATTATATTATGGCTTTTTTTTTAATAAAATAATATTTATATAAAAAAAAATTTTTAATAAAAAAAATCTAAAATTTTATAATATTAATATAATTTTATTAGAATAGCATTAAATTTTAAATTAATATATTTTATTTTTATATTTCTTTAAATTTTTATATTATAAATAATTAATTCAATATAAATAATATTTTTTCTAATATTTTTAATTAAATATTCATTATTATAATTATTCTCTCTTAATTTATAAAATCTTTATTTTTAAAACTCAATATATTTTCATTATTATGATAAAATATTTTTTAAAGTCCTTTATTTTCTATTTACTTTTAAAAAATTAATTTTTTTTTAATTTGATATTAAGTTACTTTTAATCCAATCAATTTTTTTCCTAAATGTATTAATAAATGTTCGAAACCCGATATTCTTATTTAATTAATTCTTTATTTCATTTTTTTTATGCATCTATTTGTAAAAAAACCATTAGTCTCAATCTTTTAAACTTAAATTATCTTTTATTAATTTCTTTTAATATTTTCTTTTTTAATTTAAATTATTTTTATTTCTAAATTAAATTATTATTGTGTTAATTATTATTTTTATTATTATTCTCAATCTATTAGTTATAAATTTTAATATATTAATTCTTTGATATAAATAAGATTAATATTATATACATATCATTTATTTATTATATAAATGTTTATAAATATTTTGTCATACTTATTATTTACTAATTATTTATTAATTTTTAACATTTTATAGAAATTATATATTTATAATATATTATGTTTAAAATATTATTTTTTTTTAAATAAAAAAAAAGTTTAATAGTATTTTTTAATTATATTAAATTATTTAAAATATTTTATTCTTATATTATTTATTAAATATTATTTTAAAATTTAATATTTTTCCCATTTTTTTTCGCTAATATTACCTATTTTATTCTTGCTAAGATTATTTATTAAATTAAAGTATTATTAAAATATATAAAACTATACTTTTATAATATTTTTTTATTAAAGATTAAATATATTTTAATTATAAATTAAGAAACATAAAAATAAATACATATATTTAAATCGAATTTCAGATTTTAAAGATTATATTAATATATCCAAAAAGAAATTCATACCAATCACTATAAATCATTATCTTAATAACAATTAATAAATTAACAATTATTTAAAAATAATAATAATAAATAATATATAAACTATTTATTTAAATTATAAAATAATAAATATATATATAAAACAAAAAAAATATCAATTTTTATTAATAGCATCATCAGTATTTATTTATAAAATAGAATTAGTGAATTTTTTAGAATAAAGCCAATTACAGAAATACTTAGTAATATTAACAATTTACCCAAAAATATTTTATTTATTAATAATCCTTAATTCACTTAAATCATACATATCCAAATATTTCGGTAAAATCTCACTAACAAATTCATTTGAAAGTTCTAAAACATGCTAAGCGTTATTAAAGTTACAGAAATCATAATTATCCCTTAAATTTTGTAAATTATCAATTAAAATCCCTTTTTCATTCAATGCTTTTCTAAATAAACAACAATAGAAAATTATTTCTTTAAGAATTTATATTTATAGATGCTTGCTCATTTATTCTATAAAAAGTGCAAATACGAAATTACATTTTATATCAAATAAGCCATCCTCGTTTAAATTGCCTTCCTAAAAATTTCCTTAAATAATTAATTCTAAATGTTACTGTAAAACTAAATAATCTTAAGGTTAGTCATAAAAAAACTTTTTTTTATTTTTATTTTAATTATTTAAAAAAATAATTATAAGTACATCATTAGGAAATGCAGATTTTATTTATTCTAATGTTAATTATTCATTTTCATTTAAAATTATTTAAACGTCATTATCCAATGATTCATATAAATATAGTATTAATTCTTCTATTATATTTAATGCATCATTTGAATCATTAGATAAATCAGCTGTATCTTAATCATTAAATCCGTTTTAAACATTTGTCTATATATTTTATAAAATAATTATATATAC